GCAATCTAGAGTAAAAGAAGCATAGTCACAAATTCATTAAAACATCATCTTAGAAGGCAAGTCACAGACAATGAATAACATATGAGATCTGAGGTTCTTACAGTGGTGAAGATTACTATTGTAATCATATGGGTTGTGATGATGTGTGACAGCCTCTATCTTCAGGTCTGAAGATAGAGGCAGTATGTTGATTCCTATGCACAATCCTTGTAACTCCTAGCATAATAGGATGAACCAAATAAATGATAAGCATGTGATGGTTGGTGACCAAATCCTGTGTACAGTTTATGCATCATACAGTCCTTACTAGTTCAACCAATAAAGCACTTAAGCACTACACATCTCTTAAACTTTAACAAACTTCACTGTTTGTTAAATTTGGTTTGGTGTAATGTTTGGATTACTACTATTGCTATTTCTGTGTTTCATTATGAGTTTTAGGTTATGTTGTCAAATGAAATGTATAAGCATATACATAAATGGTAACTCTGCAGAAATCAGGATACAGCAATTTGATCTGTGTATGGTACAATTTCAGTATTACAAACTTTATACTGCCATCATTACAAAAGCCTGTTAGTAGACCTTACTGTAGAATAAATTCAACAAAGTTAATGGCCTTGCTTCTACTTTGTTTAACATCTCTTTTAACACTATTCTCCTATTTTGGGCAAGCAAAACTTTGTAGCATTTCATAATTTATTAATAAATCTGAAGAACTACACATTTTATTAAGGGTCAAATAAGTTGCAAAAAACAACTTTAATTTTAAACTGGCAGGCATGTGGGAGAAAAGTAGGTGTGGTACTATCATGACATTTGCTTAGAAGACCTGCAGATAATTCAATGACAAACTGTCTGATTCAATAAGGCAGAAATATATACTGTATGGTCAAGCATGTTATCATCTGAACACAAGAGAACTGATAGTAAGTATTTAGTTAACTCAGGAGGCCTGAACTTCTGCCTCATTGTGACCTTCACCTTTTCATAATACTCCAAATTCTCCAATGTTGCAACTGCCATGTCCTTTGTTATGAGTGACCGAGGGCAAGAAACAGTGGCCTCACCAACTCCAAAAGCATCCCTGACCAAACTACTGGCAGATCTTTGTGAACATTCAAGTTCATCCATTACCATTTCAAATAAACAAGGAACTCCATCTTTCATTATTCCCTGCTCCATTGCTAGAAATAAAACAAAACTAAAAGCACTACATTAGAAACTATCATTTTCTTGAAGCTGGAATGTACATGAATACAGTGGATACCAGACCATCTCTATTTACCCCAGATTTATGTGCATTAAATGTCCAAAAAATATGTTAATCACAGAACATATGAGCATAACACAGAATACTTATGTTCTATTTTCTGAAACAAGTAAGGTAGATATTTGATGATACAAATATGTTTATCTAAGACCTTACATTCCATAAGCCCAGTTGTGACAATGACATCACAATTTCCTACAATGTCTCAGATGGTACTACATAAAATACAGTGCTAGAAACATTAATTACAATTCATTCAATTTCACTGTATGCAACTGTAATTCTGAGAATAAAAAAGCAGATGAAATGTTTGCCCTCTCATTTACTGGTTATTGCAAATAAATATTGTTTTAATTAGATAATAATAAGATTACACACTCTTCAACTTATGTTTTAAGTTTTTATTTTAACATTTTTAAAATTGTTGTTACTTGAAATACTATTAGTATCATGTTTCAATGAACAGCAAACATGCAGAAATGTTACAGAAAATGGCATTTCTATTATTAAAACTGAAACATATCTGGAAAAGACTAAATATATTAAAGCATTGCTAGAATTAAAAAGGACAGGAGGAACATCTGGCAGGCTCCTTTTAGGTCATAGGTTCCAGAACACTGAGCCTGCAGTATGGTCACTGTCCAAGTTTTATTTCTTCTTAGTCCAGAGGTCGGAAATAGAATTCCTTGTGGGAGATTCACAAAATCATGCTGTTAATGCTTTCAAAATTAAAATGTAAATTTTAACAACAATATCATATCACGCAAAGCATAACATTAAATGAAAATGTCAGCCATGCAACAAATATTAGTTCCCCCATGATCACTTGTTATGAATTCCTCTTCAACGTAAAATTGTACCCCAAAAATGAGAAAGTGGGTGGGGCATCATGTGCGATGGGGGAAACGGAGCTATTATACAAACGTACAAAAACATCCAAAAATGATGTACTCTTAAACAACAGCTGTTAAATGTCGTTCAATATCCGGGTTGAAAAACAATGTAAACTGCATTTGTACTAGCATTAGTCATTATTGTATGTTTAAAGGCGAGGGGCATTCCCTGCTAATTAACTTCACAAGGGGCAAAACTGCTACTAGTATATGAAAGTTCCTGAATTTCGACCGCTCGCTTACAGAGTCTATCAGTGACACTCTAATTCTTAATACTGTATCATCTACATATAACATAATTCACCCAAACACTTCACTAAATGATGCCACACCTTTAACTACAAATACCAACACATCCGTAGCTATGTTAACGTCAAAACTTCGCTTGTAGCTATGATGCTATTGATGGACACCGCGTACGTATTGTCCTGCCACCTACAGGCCTTTCAAATGCAAACAAATGCTAAATGTTTGACATGAACGATAAGTCAGTCGGCAAGATGGTAAACTACTCTTCAAGCCTTAAAATTTCTGCTCCAACTTCTTCCACTCCCCTCACAGAACACTGTTTTTACCAAAACCATTTTTAAACCGTAGGAAATGAAGTTTTCATAGCGGTGAGTCCGAAGATGGCTGTGTTTTGGGTTCTAGCGCCGTGTAGTCTGGTAGGTTTACCAGCATGTGGACGGTAGTGGAGGCAGTACGGACTTCTGAAGCGTTGGCAAAATTCTACCAGACTACACGGCGCTACAACAAAGACAGAGATCTTCATTTTTAATCCCTTGTATCGCAGAGAAACATGCTGTGTTCAGGGTAAAACTAAATATGTGGTTATAGTCTATGTTAGCTGTGATTCATGCATACATAACCGGTTCCATCTCCTTCCTTTTTTGTGTATCATCTTTAATACGTAACTTTCCCACCAGACGCTTCAGTAGGAAATATGTTCGCGTACAGTTGGTACAGCTATGTAACTGACGTGGTCTTCTGCTATTGTATGTTAATTTCTGACAACGAAGTGGTTTGATTGCTAATAAAGCCTTTCTGCAGAAAGTAATGGAAAAGAACACTAAACTTTTTGTTTGTGCGATTGGAATCTTTGTATGCTACTTTTATTACGGACTTCTGCAAGAGAAGATAACAAGAGGCAATTATGGTGAAGGAGAGAATCGAGAAAAGTTCACGTGTATTCTGGCTCTGGTTTTCTTCCAGTGCGTGGTGAATTATATATTTGCGAAGATTGTATTAGCAACAGTGATGAAACAAGGAGATGATAACACCAGAACTCTGTATTATTCATCCAGTGCCCTAACATACCTCCTTGCAATGGTATGCAGCAATATGGCCTTGCAGTGGGTCAACTATCCCACTCAAGTTGTGGGCAAGTCTGGAAAACCTATCCCAGTAATGATCCTGGGAGTGCTGCTCGGGAAGAAGAATTATCCTCTAAGGAAGTATTTATTTGTACTACTCATTGTTATAGGTGTAGTAGTGTTCATGTTTAAAGATGGTAAGTCTGGTGAAGGCAGTTCAGTACTTGGATTTGGAGAGTTCTTACTAGTGCTGTCACTGATGATGGATGGGTTAACTGGAGCCATACAGGAACGCATGCGAAGTGAGTATAAGACCAAGTCTGGTCATATGATGCTGAGTATGAACTTGTGGTCTACCATATACTTGGGAGTGGCCATCATCATCACAGGAGAGGGTCTCATGTTTGTAAACTTTGTGCAAAGGCATCCAAGCTTAGTGTGGCAACTAATAACATTCTCAATTGCTGGTGCTCTTGGCCAGTTCTTCATCTTCCTGACAGTGAGTGACTTTGGACCATTGCCGTGTTCCATAATTACTACAACTCGCAAATTCTTCACAGTGCTTGGCTCGGTGATTCTGTTTGGGAACAGCCTACTACCTAGACAGTGGTTTGCAACTGTCATTGTGTTCACTGGACTGTTTCTTGACAGTATATATGGTAAAGCAGTTATTAAAATGAAGTAATTCTGACTTATGGAAAGCCACAAATAACCTCTAGTCCTCTTCTGGAATATTTATGCTCAGGTATTTTCAGGCACTTGAGCAAAATTAGGCACTATGTGGTGGTAACAAGATAAATACAAGAATTGGTTAAAATAACTGTAAGAGTATCACAAGACTCTTCACTTAAGACACCTATAGTTCCTGCATGTGCTGTCTCTCCACCTGACATGTTCCATCAGCCCAGCTGAAAATGACTTTTTCAAATTCAGACATGAACAGTGTTAACACAAAGAATAAGAATCATCTTCATAGACCACTTGCCAGCTTTTCATGTTCTTGAAAACTGCTCTCTATGCTGGCATAAAAATCTTCAAGTCCATCACTTAGCCTCAGAACTATTTGAATAAAAAGGAGACATTTTAAGTAACATTAAAAAGATAATTTAGTACACACACCTTTTATTCTGTTGATGAATTTCTACAGTTTAAAGAGGACTCATAATCCATAAGATTTGAGCTTTTCACAGCGGTGAGTATGAAGATTTCTGTCTTGTAGTCTGGTAGATGTTAACCATCGTTTCAGAGGTCATACTGCTTCCGTCATCAGGGCCCTGATGACGGAGGCAGTATGACCTCTGAAACGATGGTTAACATCTACCAGACTACAAGACAGAAATCTTCATACTCACCGCTGTGAAAAGCTCAAATCTTATGGATCATAATCCCTTTAATGGGTATTGTACTTACATAGTCTGCTGTATAGTAGTGGAACAAGTGCAACATTTTAATACTTTCATGCTAAGCCTGTGTTGTTTGTGAAACTTATGTAATATTTTAAAGTGTACTCATTTATGTGTTTTTGTACTTCCTGACTTATTCCACATCCTATAGTCTATGTGACTAACTTTTGATGTAATGAAATGTATATATGTATGACAATAGATGGGAAGAAACTCCCATAATTGGTATTCCTCGAAAACACATACAGGTTGACCACTTTATCTTCTGTATGTACAAACAGCAGGTTAATCCTAATTTCAGTGAAGCATACCTTTGTTATCTCCACAGGGCCATAACTAGAGATTCAGCTTCCCAAAGCAGGAAT